TAAAGACCAGATAAATTCTTCACTGTTTAAAGACCGTCTAGCACAAGACTGATTGCAATCAGCAAAGATTGAAACAAGGGTGATTTGAACCGAGACCCAGTGGTATACCAGTTCAACTAAAAGATTCAGATGAATTATTTCAGTCCCGTTTTGATCCAAACTTTCTGACTATACGACAAAATCTCAATTTCATCTAAGCATAGAACTTGATCACGGTGGTAGAGTGTGATTCAGCTTTATGTCACAGCTTTCACCAGTAGTAGTTGCTGATGATGTTTCAAGCAGAATTTATCTGTCATAGTCATTTCTGTCGCTCATATCTCAATTTCACTTTTGATGTTCCATGTGTATGTAGCTAGATTTATCGGACCATTTGTGATGATATTCATTCGTATAGAGGCAGTTTCACTTGGGAAGACAATACTCATCACATGATGATAATTTTTCCCTTGAGTTTGGAGTGAAACACACGGCTTCAGTAGAACACCAGCATTTCGTCCTCTTTCTCGCTGTCTCTCACTGTGCGCTCCATGGCTACCCATAAACTCTCGTTTTCACATGACACTATCTGATGTATCTTATCCTCATAACTTTGTCCAAATCTTCACTTCTTACTGGTATTCCATTCGCGTTCACGACGCTCAGTGCCATTCAATGGTCTTATCACGGTCTGTCCAGTCTATTTCCTCTTCTTTATGCATATTTGTTGGCTGGCAGTTTCTTAGTGTTTCTCGTTTATTGACGCTTCTATTGCTTATCCTCTCCATCCTGCCATCTGACCTTCACTATCGAGGTAGTGAGGGCAGATGTTGGAAATCGTCTCTGCAGTGGTCCACTGAAAACGCATATCTTCAGAGTGTTTCACATCTTTGAACCACATACGAGAACCGACTTCTAACTGGTGTTGAAAATCCAAATTTTGTCCTTTATTTTTACCATACCTGGAATTCAGGTGTTCTGAGTTGATTCACCTACGTCAACGGAGACATGTAGAATGCGCTGGCGGTGAGATCGATAACAGATAAGCAAAATGATATTCCGATACTCGTGTCACTTCAATTTGCTCAGCAGGCATTGGCCGTTAGTGTGAATAGTGTCCACCTGGTCATATTAATCAGTAGTATTTACTAACACGAAATATTTATTTATTTAGAAATTAAGGATGTTGGATGGCCGAGTATCATTCTGCACTTCAACCATTGGATCAACGTCTCACATCCTGCATTACTAGGCGTAAGGTTATTCAGTGTGTCTTGGTATATGTGAAGAGATGGAGTAGTGGAGTTAATGCCTACAAAACTTCCTGGTTAACTGGTTAAATTCTCCCCACTTACCATACTCAATTGAAATACCCTCCGAATTAGTTAAAAAAAAATAGATATTTTTCCAACTCGATGGTCAAACGACTGGTGAAGTCAGACGGCTCAAATTCACTAAACAGGTCTTTTAGGATTATCTCCAAGATAAGAACGAATGGTACAAGGGATGTTAATTTCCGAGTATTGCGTATGACAGAGGCCCTGACTGTTCGCCAATATAACGCCGAATTCTATGTGCAGAAAAGGCATTCTAAGTCTCTTAATTTATTATTGTCCTAAACTCCTTCTCAAATATTGATGTCTGTTTTTAGCAGATAATTCATGAGTATCACTCTAATGTGTTCATTTTGACCACCTGTACACCTGTCAAGTAGATACTCAACCGCCTCACTTCTCATCGAATCACAAGCATCACCCTCAATTGTGCCATTGACTACGACGTGATTTCGTATCTGTGGTGACCACTTGTGAGTTACTATATTAACTATTTATAGCTCCGTTTGGAACTCACTGATAGACTAGTAAACCTGTTTTGGTGAACACAGATAGAATCACACTCACGGACTTTGAAGATGACTTCGTCGTTTACTCGTTCAATTGTCTTCCACTTTGTTTTTCACTTCTAGTGTCAAGTAGAAGATGGTCAGAGATGGGATATTGCGAAACTCAGGTAATCACCATAAGAGTCAATATGATACTGTTGTCAATTTTCTCCATTCACTTTTGTTCAATCAGCAGATTAATTCATTATTGTTGTCATAGTAACTGAGTATTTAGGATTGATAATGTGATATGCTAATCATTTCTAAATGGAGTCTTCACAAGTATCTTCATTCCAGTTATCGATGCCACTGACGACACACAGTTGAGTCTGTGAATTACTGTAGTTAAAACAAGGATGAATTAGACCTGGCTTTGTATGCTTTCTGAAATGTGTACGAACTATCCAGCTGCAAACTTGGTAATGAATGTGATAGGAGAGATACAAAGTCAACTCTCGAGTGATAACTTTTCGCACAGATTGGCCATGATGTCAGCATACGGAAACCTACCAATCAAACAGAAGACAAGCGAGTCGCCATCAAGTGCATGGGCGTCAGGCTGGCAATCTGGTAAAGCCCGCCCACGAGAAGTTAGCCTGGTAGATTTCAATGTTCTGGTATCAGTGTCAATCACCTGATTATGGTCTTTATCCACTGCCTCAAAATTAACCGGTAGTCGTCACATGCCAATCACAGAAATAGACAAGGGTGAGCGAGTTCCACTGAAATTGTCGGCTGTGTCATCATGTCTTTATATCACGAATGACACATTCCCCTGAGTCATCTGTTCAAGGGAATTAACAATGCACAGATCCCACTGATGCATGGGCTTGATAATCAAAGAATTTGTGTACATCCAGCCAAGACATTCATAGATTTAGTCAGAGCTAAAGCTATTCATTCTGAACACTGTAGGGATTGTGAAGAATTCACTTGAACAAGGAGAGTTTAACAAATTATTTTGGAAAAATTGTTTCAACATGGCACATAATCATGCTGTGACGGGTTAGGCTAAAGTAGAGCGACTCGGGGGAACAATCACTCAGACGACGCCGTCGTAAACACGTGCGAATTTAAATGAAGTACTGACTGTGTTCCAGATATTATCCAGACGTAGTATTTCACTACAGAATTGTGGGATGCAATACAACATGAATTTACAGAGATATGGAGTGCCTGTTGATGATATGGAGCAGTTGAGGCAGTCACCATCACTCAACCACACTCACAACACAATCACCTCGATGAATTCATGAACTGAAATTGGTTCGGAATAACACACTGAAGACGTCTGTGGTAATTATCCAGTTAACTGTAAGACATTCTGAGGCCAAATAAAACTCTGCTACTCCGCATGGCTATTTTTACTACTCAATTTGATTTCCACAGAAGAGGGTTCTCGAATTCCGTGTTTTGAAATATGCTCCTCTCGTTGTTTGCATCGGGTCATTTTGATGATCACTCGCCTCGACCAGCATACTTTACCTTAACCCTATAATGGACTACAGTTATAAAGACGTGATAATAGTAATCATACTAATATTAAGAATAATGCTGGTTTTATTCGGGACACAACATTTACATAATACACCGAAACTTCAGCATGCTTTACTGCATACTGTTTTCCCTTCATCAAGGATCTTCAGGTATCAAAGCATTCCAAAGTTTACCGTTCGATCTGGGCATGAATTGATCCCTTGTGATATTTCTCCTTCATTCTCGAGAAGAGAGTACTACTAGTTTGAAAGCAAACAGAAAGTGTGCCTGAGTAGAATCTGTGACCCAGATGCACCATTGAATGATTGACGCCATAAGAAATAAAGAAAATGTGAGTCACTGTGCAGGATGGAAATTCACACATGTGTCGCTCATTGGCTTAAATACTCACATTTCAATCAATAACTGTCGACTTCGAATCTCGCTCCACTTGATTCAACTAGATAGTGTCACTAGCCCGCTTCGCACAAATAAGTGTCGTTCATATCCTAGTAAATGAGAAATCTCTTCTTGGTGATTGAAATCTACCACCTCTATTTAGACAAAGGTTTAAAGTCCTCCTGATCTGTTTGAGAAGACTATGGGAATTTCTTTTCTTTTCAGAGTGGTGCCTCAGCTTGACTGGTTCAGCGACAAATGTCCATATTCAACTAGCTTTTGGCGTTATAACTTGGTGAGTTATATATATCTTCTTGTTGGCCGACATTATTCAGGCGACATTATTTAAACAGACCAAATGCAGCTAAACATTTGGTTAGAATGTAGATTGAATTTGAATATTTTGTTGGTGTTAGTTTGCAGGAATTCGATTGACTACAGGTCTGATAATGAGATGACATCCGTTATAGAGTTAATGGAAATCCGCCAGGGAGTACTGGACAGGTGTTCAAGCGTAGTTTGGCACTGACCCTTCCACAGTAAGCGGACACCAGTAACCGGTGTTCTAAATGAGGACCTACTAGGAAACTACTGTCCAATACTACATGGTTTTTGAATGTTCTCCAACTGGTGTCAGTCAGTGATCAAACCTGAGATTTGAATTGACCCGAAATAAATATTTCGTCAGCGACTGCTCACTGCCGACTACTATTAACATTGAATTTCTCCTCAACAGATACCCACAGTTTCTCAAAGCTTAAATTAGGCTTCAGCATCACTGTACAACGTACACTGAGGCTCTCGGAAATAACTACATAATGTCTGCGCATACTATATAGCTTCAGTCTACTTCACGTGGATTTATTCCTATTTGAAAACAACTGAGGAGAGTGCACCTACGAATTCACGAGGGATTGATATAATCGTCTTCGTTTCAACAGACCAGTCTGTTGACCATTCAACTCCTGGACATGTTATCCATAAATCTGTGAACTCCACCGCTTGTCGGTTCGTGATATGGTGCCATTGTCGTTAGTGAATATCTGTCATCATACTCAACTGACTGGACTCAGTGGTAACGTTACTGACTGAAGCTTTGGATGAACACGATTCGAATTTACGCAGATATTTCAGTGGAATTCTTTTTAGGCTGTAGAAAATCACCACTAAACAGTGTCTACAGGAACGAAAGTTAAATACGAAGCTTCACTTCAATTTGCTTTCATCCATGTGAATCAAGTTACATACATCGTAACTTCAGTTTATGGGCGATGGAATGTCTTCAAAGCGAAGGTATGCATGAGATGAGGCTGCCCACTATCCACTATCCCCATAATTGTAGTTGACAAACCGTGAGAGACTGATATACATGCCGTTGAAACGGCAGAAGTAGGACTCCTCGTTAAAATATGTCTTCAAGGGTGATATCGAGGAGATTGTGTGAGGTAGAAATGAAAACTCATGACCAGTCTCGGAGTCATTTGCAAGAGATTGCAGAATACACAATGGAGTATTTATGTGTTTCTGAACGCGAATGTTCCGTCCTGAACCCAAGAGTATGAAAATGCTAGTTAAAATAATTGTAAATATAATGCCAGTACAACATATTAACGATTAAATATATTACACAATATCATTGAATTCTAATTTCATTGACAAGTTCATTTCCCAACTTTATTCAGAGCACTATAAATGAATTGTCGAAATATTGGAGCAATCCTTGGATGAATTCACGCATTAGTAAGTCTGTTAAACAATATCCAGCTGAAATATTTTGTTTTCACTCCGTAAACCACTAACAGACGAAATCCATGTACACATTTTGCAGAAATAATACAACTGATGAGGTCATTGCACGAGAGGTGGCTATAATGCCTAGTTAGTCTAATGGACAAGGCTTCGTTGTCTTAGCTAATGCATGACAGGTTCAGATGTCACTGTGAACAGAATAGTTGATTCGGACATACCAGTTTATCCAACCAATTAGTCTCGAAAAGGACGACACATGCACCCTGAATTGTACTGTTAACCAGCATCAACTGAGTTATCAATATTATTACTTTGAAAGTGACGTCTTCTCTTCATGTCTTTTCCTTGCCATTTTTTGCTTCTAGCAACCATCTGTATAGAGACTACGCAGCATGTACCGTTGTCGATAAAAATGGACCAACTCCATATCTTTATTTCAATCGTGGAATAGACCTCTTCAAAATCGTGTCACCTAAATCGTAAGTCGAATGAAACCATTTTCGGCATATTTCTGATTTCAACTACTAACATCCATTGGGAATGAGGAGGCTTTTACTAATCATCAATTATGCGATTAAGACATGTATATATAATCGGGTGTTGCTCTGCGAGGATTTGATTAGTTACAGCTATGAAGGTTACTTGAGTTGATATCAGCTTGAGAAGAATTGAGAAATCACTAAAGAGTAGTGGAAAGCTTCTTCGTTTCAGCGCTTGAGACTGACTCTTCACCAGTACACATACACTGACAGTACTCGGAAACCAGGACCTTCCCGTTACAAAATAAGAATACACTTTCTCGCGTATGATACTGCAAGTGCGGCTGCGTTATATACATCGCTAGTAGATAGAAGTTGGAACACATGGATTGACCAGAGGATAGGGTCCTGATAGTTGAGTGGCCTGCGACTTCACCTTGAAACTAGGAGGTACTGAGTATGAACCTTGTTGGTGAGTGCGTACTGTGAAGGGCCACTCTCAATCATTAGGACGAAACAGCTGTCCAGTACTCCTCCGTGGCTTTCATGTGCTTCTCTCACTGATGTCGACTCGCCGTCAAACCACCAAATACGTGTTAGCATTTTCAGACAAATTATTTCACACAAGACTGAATGGCATCTGTTATTAGATAAGGAAGGCTATGCCTTTATGTCCAGCTAAATTACATCCTGAAGTAGTCACATTACAATCTCATAGATCTGACATCGATATGTTTGAATTAATCGAGTAATACTTAATTCAAGACATCTTTCAACGGGACAGTTTTAGAAGTAGAAAGACAGCACTTCTTAACACACAGATCTCCGAAGGACAACAGCATATCACTCATCACTTAGTTATTCGCCCCCCCCCCTACCGAGAAGAAACCAAAGGCTGCTTAAGGAGGCAGAACCGATTCATCATGGAAAGCGACAGGTGTCAATCAAATCAATGCAGCTATTTATATAGTTGCTTTACGTGACCGATAACTTGCATGTGTATTGAGTGTGAGCTGTCTTCTGATTGGTTGACAACTACTCACCGATATGAATTCAGTGATACGATGTTTTGTCTAGGTGAAGACTGAGTGTTCAGGACTGTAAGTAACCGTCATGTTGTTGAGTTATTCAGAAGACACATTTATGAGTCAACTAGTGTTTAGATATATTCATTTCATTGCGTCTGAATGGTCTTAGAACATGTCGTCTTCGTTCAGTCATGTTCAGCTGACAACCCACAGACCATGCACAGACTTGTGATAATGTCCATTCTAACACTATCAGCCAGATAGTTTGAAGAAAGCGCATACAAATATCATAATTGAATTAAAACAACTCTAGGAGACGAGTATCAAACTGAACATGAATCCAAGGCATTCAAGTGTGATTTAAACAAATGTAGTTTTCGGTGATTAAACTCAACAGAAGTGTTATGTAATAATCAATTTCACAGCATCCAATAATTACAGTTCGATTGCATCAATTAAAACATTCATCCTTAACTAAACTAACGAAGCAACTTTTTTTTATTTCCGCTTTATTCAAACACGATGAATGACAGAATATCGATCAAAGAAGGTGAAACTTACTCAGTAAGATAATTTTAATTCTATGCAATGAATTTGAAGTATAAAATATGTGACTTCAAAAGTGTCAAATCAGATGTGATTGTCTGCTGACAACAGTGAATGACTTGAGGGCGTCAAAATCATTTCCATAGTCGACAAGATGCTTTGACACTCAACTATTAGGCGCTTCGACCTCATACGTTTCCAGCCACTTTAGCAAATGTTTCATCATGTGAGTAGAAAATCGCCTTTCCCTACGATAAATATATTCGCTTCCACAGGCACACTCAAAATGATATATGCATTTCGATGTGTCGGTGACTGACAACTGGCTTCGCCAGATCGTTGAAGCAATCACTAGGTGGTGTTTGGGAGGAAGCGTTCTGCATCATACTGTGTTTCCCTGATAGCTAAACCAAGTGTTCATTTGACTACCTCTCGTAGACCATCTTCCCCCTTCACGGGGAAAGGGGAAACTGCACCTCAACAATCTCAAGCATAGTTACTCTGTGCTAGAGTGTCTCAGTGTACTAGCGGTTGAAATCTGAACGATATACTAAGAAACGTGAGTAGTTTCAGAAGACTAGTCAATTAATTCTTTATTTCTTGACAAAGTACTAATGATTTTCTCTCTCGAATTATTTGATCTTTCAATTTAATTAGACCAAAGATTTCGAGCATTCGTTGTTGAACAAATATCATGCTCAACCTAAAGTCATCTGTGCTGCTGATGAGGTAAGCGACGAGTAAATCCGCTTCGCATAAATGTTTCTTCTATCATAATGGCAGCTGTAATACGTTGGGATTATCATTAATAATTTTGTCTTTGTTCGCTTCTCGCCTACTGAGTGGAACATCTCTGTTCTATTCAGTTTTATTCTACCACATTTAGGAAGCCCAAAAATTGACCACAACAGGCGGGCATTCCTTTCCTTATCAGAGGGTGTGTTGCCTTATCCATCACCATTTCTATCACTGTAGATTTTTTAGGCGACAGGTTGATGGTTGCTTCTCCAACAGACTTCCTTGTCGCTGCCTATACGTCGTGGTTGGATGCGTGAACTTCACTTAGGAGCCAGTGAAGAGGGAAGTTGTCGATGTAGGTGTTCAGCCAGTTGTCTTCTATTGTTGCCATCTACAGTAAATCCAAATTATTCAACACTGTTATATCACCATCGTATTTCGGTATCCTGGACACGATAACAGACCATGACTGAAAGTGGTGATGCAGGCTGTTGTATGTCAGTAGAATGTCGCATTACATCTTCCACTTACATAGACAAAATGACTGTTTATATGAGTTCGTTGAATTAGGAGACCTTATTTCTTGTTTTCCTGTTCTTCTCCTCATTTTCTTCTAGTTTGATGGAATTTTTCTCCATGAAATAGTCTTCTGTTTCAATGAGCATTCAACGCCTGTCGATTGTCCCGCGGAATATGCAAATGACCTCCAAACCTTCATGTATACGTTCAATGAACATCCTGAAAATGACTACAGGAAACAAATTGATCAACAGAAACTTTGTGGAGATTCATTCACTGTACCGGTATATAAAATGTACTCAAAACCAACAGATGAACCTGTGAAAAACGCTCATTCAGAAGATACTTCATCCTCTTTATCAGACATATTTTCAGGTATCTGGAATTGGTTTCGGGGTCTGTAAGACAATTGATTGTGTAAAGGATTGCGAACAAAATATGCACAAACAATTTTACTTTGAGTAGATTTAGTGTGATCTCTGCTTTCATTAGCACAAAACTCCTCGTTTGAATTTTTGCTTCTATAACTCAACATTTATTTTGAAATTCATTAACATTTGCTTATTCAATAAAAAATGTTTCACTTTTTCTTCTGAATTGTAATTCATAAAGTTTGGAATTAAAGTTGAAAAAATATTACTATTATCTTTAACAGTTTCAATGAACTTCTTTATGTGAATTTCACCATGGTTTTCAGCATGACTGCATTACTTCAAAACAAAATGACTTATTTCAGCACATAGTGACAATCTTCGGTTTTATATCAGCACATTATATATCAGTATTGTATCGGCTGCATATTCAATTTTCAAGGTTTATCTCGCTAAGTAAGCGTCTAGTGCTCTTTTTAAGAATGACCAGCGTTATTTCAGTACTCAGTGGATTACTTTCAGGCATATAAAATATTCACTTACCATGATAAAGCATTGTCGACGCATAGGTCATGTCATCTGCTAAATCTTGATCTTTTACAGTCTTCTTATCTGTGGTTCAGCGTATTCCTGACGAATGAAATTTCAACCAAACGTGACACATAAGCCCAGCCTTCCTAACCTCTGGTTGTCTATTTTATGTTGGGAGGGATTCTCAGATGAGACAGTATCAGCGTGTCCATTATTCTTGAACAAACTTTGTTGCGCGAGGGTCTGTTGTTTTCTGCAGACGAAAATAATTCTGTTCCATATATTCGTTACTGGCATCATTACGTCGATATACCGAATCACTTATCGGCTTGAATAGTCTGTTTCCCTGTTCAGATTGTAATTTACACAGCCGAAGTACCTTGCTTTTAAGTTGTTTTGAGAGCAGTGCGTGCTAAGTCTTCCGTAGTTGTATATTTGTTGACTCATTTCGTGCGTGCACAAAGACGGACCGTGATCCAGTCTGTATCCGTTAGGTCGATGGAGCTTTACGTAACTAAGGAATATGTTTCTGTTCACATGGTACCTATTGGTGTCTTGTCTAGTCGCCCATGTGTTTCCATTATTCATTATGGGTCCCGTTCTCGGGTTATTTGTGCCTATAGGCATAATACAACCTCGGTTACTGCGGAAATCGTGGGTCTCACTCTTCTATTCAATCAGCTCAACGCGCCTTGCGTGTCTGCCAGCGTGTGATTTTGTGTGGATAAAACTATTTTTGCTGTTTGTTCTCACCTCGTGTTGTCTGTCGTCCACAGTTTGTCTATTACTCTTAGTTAGACGAAGTGTACTTCCATTCACGTCTTCCGTCTCCTATATGGTACCTACTCGTTGGTTGGGAGCTTTGTTTGAGACTGTTTTGACATTTTTGAATTTTGTGATGGAGGCGAAAATATCCCCAGATTTCCTAAACTGTTCGGCTATTATACAGCTGTCAGACCTGAAAAGTATAGTACATGTGTGGTTTGAGAGGGTGTACTTAAGAGGTTCGCAGCTCTTACCAAGGAGTTCTGAACCGACTTTATGGGCTCATTGTCAGGTATGTTGTCTATCTGTTTTCGACATAGAACTGTGCACATATGTGCGGCAGTTCGAGTCCCCACACATCATGTAGCATACAAAGCCAGAGAAGAAATTAGAAGAAATGCATAAGATAGACGGTAAACAGAGGTGTGAGACAAAGGAATAGTAATAACGAAGAACAAAACAGTTTCAGTGGAAATCATAAGTCACAGGGGGTGGATGAATTTGCGCCATTGAGAAAGATTTGAACCATATCACCAATTGTATCCAGCTGCCATTGGATTTTACCGTGCCAAGGACCCTAACCGAGAAGTCTACACCCTCCTACGTGGATGGCTTAAACTCCTGTTGTGGATTTCATTGACGGGTGAAGCCATGTTTTGGTTTGACCGCCGCCAGCTCTTTTCTAGCCTGTTCCTATATCAGCTAACAGTGTCTGTCAAGGAAGGCGATGACTACGCATACGTAACACATGTTGTCAGCCACGTCTCGTAAACCGTTAATGCCCAGCTCTTGCTACGCTCGGGCTCACGCTGTTCCTTGAAGTTTTTCAGAAACGCTTAGTAATAACGGACGCAAAAACCAAAACACCGATTGGCTGCTTGAGAATTCTTTATTGTAACACCAACATATAAAGAATGTTGTCACTAAGGTCTGTGAACAAATATTACAATAATAAATCACAATATTACTTCTGAAGGTTTATTGCTGACTTCTTTCTGAACAGCGACCGATGAGACGATGACTGTCGTATTGATGCCTCCGCGAAAATTGGGGAAGTTGGTTTTGAGCAAACAACCATGAATTGATCGTTCAATCTTCAACTACATTGACACTCCCCGGCAAAAAAGGATCTATTCCTTTTTTCCATCACGACCAACAAACGTTGACTTGGATGCCATCGCGAGAACCTGAGTCACTGGGACAGAGCTGAAATGGAAAACAAACAGAAAAGCCAACACACCACAAGCATACTCACAGCACAATCTCACACATCAGTGACGACCTGCGCCTTCCAGTTAAAGGTGTCCTCTTGACACATCCTCTTGCAACACAATCGCCACTTGCTAGAATGACTCTTGCAGAATGCAACGTGACCATAGCACCACCTCACGATACTCCACGCACGTCCTCGTATCTACTCACTACCAATTACCACTGCAATCGCTTGTCACTCATTCTGCCTCAGTTCTAGTAACGGTGACGTATGCGAGCCTCAGTCGTTTACACTCCCACTCCCCGGCGTGTGGGACCGCAGCTAACAATTATCTCCCTATGCATTTCATTCTCAGCAATAGTCTCCCCGGCATATACGACCCATCTGCTGTCCTTAACATCAATCAATTCATTCACGGATGTAGAGGACTCGAAACAACTTCAAAAGTAATCACGACGAAAATTTTAACAAAATTATGCAATAACAACAAGGTACGAAAACAACGAGTCCAGTCATCCACTTATAATCATGCAGATGTTCTTTGTTCCAGTTTGTGATACCGGATAACTTTAGTTGTGGGCATAGAGTTCTGTTTACTTGAAATGTGGAAGAATTTAAACGTGATGCAATTTGGACACTGGGCGTTTTCCCTCGAATAATGGGAGACAGTTCCCAAATGAAGACATTCATCTTCGACTGTATTCAGCCTATACATGTAAATAAACTTGTTTGCGTTGCAGTGAAATAAAATTATCTATCTAATATTCTTGTGTTCCACTTGTTCTGCATGCGGTGGGACTACAGCATGCTGGACCGGTACTTCCTAGGAAATGAACTGATTACTATGCTTAGATGTAATCCTGTACGAAAACTATAGATCAGAATAAGTGGTGAATTATAAGTACTTTAGTCAAACCTAAACATCTGCCTAAAGTTACGCGATTACGTCTCTTGGTTATAGGTAAGTCCGTAGGGACCAATGACAGAAATATCTAAATTTTGTATTTGAAAAGTAAGAATAGAACTTAGGCAATCAGGTGGATTTCGTATAAGATTATTTGCATTCGAAAGTGGCACACCGCTATTATTTAGTTTCACTCAGATAGCATAAGAAAAGTATGGTAAGCAGGATGTTGAATATATTTAATGAAAAATAATAACAAGCAAAGGGCTGCACACAATTGTTTATCGTAATTATTTCGGCGATGTCGAATTGCTGTGACCCGGCTGACTGACCTTACCCGAGATCTGCAAATAAGTGGAGAAGGTGTATTTTCTAAACCGCCGAAGTAAGAAAAAAGTAAAATAAAATTTGAACGCTTTATATTCGCCTACCTTTATTGAAAAAATTTCATTCTCCTTTCCCATTTTTTGGTCATGATAGCATTTTTCTGTGGTTTTCACAGTCACACACATTGATTATCTTCTAAAGTATAGCACCAAGCAAAAAATAGTAATTTAATATGTCATATAAACGGGTGTTTATGAGGAATGCATGTCATTTCTACCACCACAATCAGTTATGTTATAAATTGCAATCGAGAAGTATCACACATTACGACATTTTCGAAAGTCTTCACGTGATAAAAATCTATTTCAGGAGGAGAACAACGTCCTGAGAAGCCACGAAGTGGCGTTAGATAGAATTACGGATAATACATCGTTGAAAGTACATTTACACGATATATACTTTAAGGGGCTCTGAAGTCCTTGGTAGTATACATTTGAAGTGTTTAATGCTAGCCATATCGGTCTTATCATGGGAATCATGACGTTTCTGATGAAAATGTAGATTTGTATCGGTGTTTTTCATCAAAGAAATCAGACTTTAAGCAACCAGTGAATATGAACAAAGAGTAATTTTAGCTTTAATAAAGGCGTAGGTAATTAAGATAAAAAAGGAGCATAATAGTGCGTGAATGAGGTAGATAGGTGATATTTCAGTGAAATGTTAATTCAAATATCTCGGAGACTAGAACCCCTAAGACAAGCTGATCTGTAATGTCTTTCACGAATTTCTGTAGAGCATATAGGATAGCATTGATGTTTAAAAAATAAGTCATAAGTACAGCTTCTGTGTTCTTCATAGCTGCAGGTATTTCATGAAGGAGCTCAGAATATCTTAGTAATCTGTAAATGAATGATTATTAGGACTTGTAGTACCCCTATACCAACTGTAAACACGCTTTTTAATCTAATTTGTATACTTGTATTATATGTTTATACAGATCGGTTTTATATGTACTTCTCAAACATTTGTCAATTTACTGCTGAAAATTACCTTGACACAATTTTGAAACTCGACAACTGCTATAATACACGCTCGTACTCCTCCTCAAGTGCCTTCTGATTTACTTTGTGGACATCGAGCAAACACAACGTTAGGACAGTAATAAACGAGAAGTTCTAGAATATACGTGTACGCAACTTTAGTCAAATAACGCACGCAAAAGACTTACGTAAAAGGTGTACTAGTGATAGTGTAACAACAGAAGACAAGGGCTGGAAACAGATCGTTTTATTACGAAAATCAACACGTATTTATATATATTTTATGTACATTAATAGGGCTTATGCAAGCAGAAAAGGCAGTCTCCTGATTGGTTGTTTTTCGGAAGTTAAAGAGACAAACACAGTCT